AGAGCGGGACCCAACCACACTCGGCAAGCTCAGGACGCTCCTGTCAGAAATCCCCGAGAACTCGGTCTAGTCCCACAGGAGGGGGAAATGCCCCTGAAGAGCACAGCGCCCAACACCCAGTGCCAGTCAGAAACCACTGGCCAAGGACTGACGGCGTGGCCCCAAAACGGACGTCAGGCATGGAGGGCGGAGCGCCGGCCACTAACAGTGACCACAGGTGGCGGCAATAACCAGGACCACCTCTTCGGCCCAGGAGATGGCGCAGGGGAAGCAACAGGTGTGAGGGTCACCTCTCCCCGCAGCTCACGTTCCAGGGGCGGAAGTAAGAGTTAGGCACCAGTGGGCGGCGGGGCGGGCACGGAGGACTCGAGGCGTCATCCAGAGCCCTGGATGGTGCGTGAGGGCGCCACGCGTGGGCACCAGGGGATGACTGGGGCTGCAGGAAAAGGCTTGGAGAGCAAAGGGTGGGCACGGGCAACGGGGATTCCTCCCAGCACGTGCGTCTGACTGCCTCGCTGCGAGAGACAGGGCACGCCTAGCTCTGGAATCTGAAAAAACGAGGCAAATCTTCAAATTCATACTGCTAACCACTGGAAAATAAAACCCTAAGAAACCCTCCTGAATTCTATCTGCTGAGGAAATGCAAGTGTTTCCATACTGTTCGAATGTTACCACTTGCCAGTTTACTCTGGAAAACGGGAGGCAGAGGCAGTCCCAGTGGCCCCACTCACGACGGCCTGCCGTGAGGAAGGAGGGCCACCCCGCCACTCGCCAGGAGACGCCGCCTTCCTGGCGGGACTTACTTCGTGCTGAGGTTGACCTTGACCGCAGAGGCGGAGGCAGGGAAGGAGGGCTTCGTCCCCGCGTTCGGAGCAGGCGCGCTCGGCACTGGCGTGCTTTCCAGGGCGGGCCTGAAGCCTGCCGGCCCAAAGGAGACCATCGGCGACGGCACCACAGGGGAGGCCGCAGGGGTGGGGGCCAGCGAGGCTTGAGGAAAAGCGAAAGAGAAGGTGGCCGTGCCAGCGCCCAGGGCTGCTTTCGAGTTGTCAGAGCCGCCAGGATGCGGGGGGGCATCCCCGGTGGCGGGTGGTCTCAGGGATGAAGAGCCGAAGGAGAACACGGCAGAGGCGCCCCCGAGAGAAGGCGGGGACAAGGCGGAGGCGGGCGCAGCCGACGGCGCGGGCGGGACGGGGGCCTCCAGCTTCTGCGGGGCCTGCGAGGAGGGCGGGGTGGAGGGCGGACTTCCTGCAGTGAAAAGGGGGGAGGAGGGTCAGCACGGTCAGGAAAGCAGGCGTGAAAGGGTGTGTGGAAGAACGGACTCGAGCAGCGTTCTGCCGCTGGGAGGGAAGAATAAAAGGAGACAGCGCTGATGCCACGCTGCTTGGGAGCAGGCCACAGAAGACGCACGCAACTCTGAAGGAGAGAGAACTGGGGAGCATCAGACTGACGGGACTGCAGGGACGCGCACCGAAGAGAGAGCTGCCCTGCTGGCATCACAACAGAAGTCACTCGCTCAGCGGCAGCTCATTCACGGGCAGCAGAAAAACATTATTCCCACCTCACTAACAGCTGCCAAGTGAGTCCTGATCAACTGCAGGTCCACGCTCATGTGAAGCACGTGGCCACACACGGGCAAACCCAGCCAGCCAAGCCAGACACCAGCTCCTGCATAACGCCCCGCGCTCAGAACTGAGCAGCACCCCTCAGCATTTCAGCCGCCTATGAGCGCGTATCATCACAAGGGGCCAACGTACTTTTTCTTAGATTGGGCACAGGAGCCACTTTTTAATCCGAAGAGGAAAACAGCATTGTAATTTCACAGAAGGGACCTATTAGTGACATTCCAAAACGATAAAATCATGTCCCTCTAAAATGGTCCTTATTGGGCCCTCCCTGGTGGCGCAGCGGGTTGAAGCACAGTACACGAAGCTATCGGCAGCTGCCGCAGCACGAGTTCGATCCCCGACCAGGGAGTGACCCGCGGGTTACAGGGCGCAGCAGAGCTCTCCTGTCTCCCTCCTGCTCCCCTCAGCAACAGACTTGAGTCAATCCGCCTATTTTGCTCCCCACTCTATCTCTGGGGAATCCTCTCAGCCCCCGCACCTCTGGCCTGCACCCCAGTTCTTGCATGCATAAATAGATAAATCTTAGAAAGGGAACAGTCTACAGTCAGGCCTGACTCCCTGCCAGCCACACCATGTGCTCCTGTCTCCCATCACTGCCTGACCACGCGGCTGACCTGCGGGCATCTCAGTATTTCCCCCACGGGTGCCCGGCCACCCATTCTCCCAGCCACAGAATAGACACCAGAGCTGACAGTTATACACAGAATTTCGCCACACTGCTCACGGGTCAGCTATACAACCACTGACTTAACCAGCCCAAATCCGAACCAAGCCAGGGCAGTCAGCACCTTCAGGCTCCAGACCACGTAACAGTCACGGCTAGAGAAGAAGCGGGGAGCTGTGCATTCACAGAAAGGGGAGTCTCGGCCTCAGTAAGACAGGTGGGTCAGGACTCTGGCGTGTCCCAGAGAGCTGGGCTGTGGGGCGGGAGTGCATACCTGGTGACTTGGGCTGTCGCTCTCCTTCTAATGAGAGCCGCTCTGGCGTCCTGATGAGGGACCTAACCCCTGGGTTTTGATTGATCATGTAAAATGGGCACAGCACCCCATCTGTTGACAGCAACATGAGAACTGGTGCAGGAGGGAGCGTCTTCTCATCACCTGTTAAAAACATGAGAACAAAAGTGGGAAAAGAGTCCATCAACCAAGTGCTGGGCCCAGGAGGGAAAGGCTGCCTGCCCAGGGCAGACGCTGAACGGGCTCAGGTCTGCTGGCTTGATCCCTGCTGAATCAGAGCATTCTGCCAGTGAAGAGGACAAGAGAATGGGAGAAAACGAGGTGGAAAGACCCGTCCACCTGGCCAGGAGGCGCACAAGGCACAGGACGGGGCCCCAGGCAGACGTCTTCCCGAGTGGCCAGATGGTGGAGCGTGGGCCACGGCCCCCCGGGTCCCGATGCACCGAGTGGCAGCACACACTCGGCCCGACGTGGCCTACCCAGGCCATCCCCCGTGTGCTGCTATGCGGTCTCCGGTCAGGGGCCGATCCCTCGGGGGCCCTGGGGAGCACAGGGGCAGAGGAAGAAGCTATGCAGGCCGGTGCTCTGCGCTCCAGCTGCCCTCTGCCGAGATGCCTGCATCGTGCTAGCACGCACACACGCGCACACACGCACAGACACACGCACACAGGGGTCTGGCTTGGGCCGCATCACCGTTCAGTCACTCAGAGCAGATTAGTGTCATCACAACATTTAATCACCGTGCAAGTGAAAACGAGCCACCAGAAGTTAGCGGCACCAGCAGAGCAGACGGCCCTGGAATGCAGAAGTGGGCATAAGGGTCAGCTGGGCCTTGAGACCATGCCCTACTTACTGATGGCGACCTCCACCTGGTTCGTGTAATCGATGGCCACACCCACTGGCAAGGAGTCATCACTCCTGTCTGTCACTGGCAGCTCAGCCCGGCTAGAGTCCTCTAGTAGCCAAGACTCCCAGTTCACCTGGAAAGAAGAACACGCACGAGGTTGGAGGGCTGATGGGTGGCTCCTACTGTGTTCAAACAGGAGAGAACACACAGCCCCCGCTCCTGGTGTCGAGCTGTGCACTGGCGGAGACATCTGGGATGAGGAACTATGAGCCGCTGGTAACCCAGCACTCGAGGGGCTAAGTGTCTCGCAACTGACCCGGGGCTCCTGGCGTACCAAGCCCCTGCTCGCACACACTGAGCGCCCTCCACTGAGGGCGTCCCCACAGCCAGGCAGCTCCCAAACACAGCAGAGTCCAGCCCACAGCTGCCCCTGCGCTCAGGGCTGGTGGCAGGCCTCTGCAGTCTCTCCCGCGGTCCTGACAGGGCGGCCTGCGAGTCGGCCAGGGTCTTGTGCTCACTCAGCCGAAGAGATGGGGGGACTGGAGTCTCATCCCCCATTCCTGGTGTCAGTTCCCAACACACTGGTCACCTGGCCTGTCCCTGGGTTCCCTGAGAAAACCATTAAGTCTAAGACTAAAACCCCTTTGCTAAGTCTGTTTGAATGGACTCAATTCCTGCCAACAAATGATTCCTGATTTTTAAAAATCATTAACATTTTGTGTCACTTTCAGTGTTGGCAAAACCGGGAGGATGAGTTAAGGGGAGCAGAGCTCAGGAAACGACAGGTCAGCGAGCTGCCGCTAAGGGGGGTGGCCGCACCCTGCCGCCCGGCTATGGGGCCACAGTCCATTCTTTTGTTTTAGATTTATTTATGCATATAAGAACAGTAGGCCAGAGGGTCATGGGGTGAGAGGACTCACCAGAGCGGGGAGACTGACCAGAACAGGCAGACTGACTGAGACCCACTGCTGAGGGAGCAGCGGGAGACAGGAGAGGTCCGCCGCGCCCTGGGGGTCACTCTCTTGTGCTGCAGTGGCTGTGGACAGCTACAGTGCTGGGCTTAACCCCTTGTGCCACCAGACAGACCCCTTGATTATTTTCATATCTAGACCCTTCTCTACTATCTGATCTTAGTCTCATTCATAAATTATTTTGATAAAAAAGCAAAAATATTCCCCATGCGTGTAAATACAGAAGCATTTATGCTGTTACGACACTGCTACTGCGATGCATCTGGGAGCCCCAACAGACGGCTGAGCTCTGGCCTGTGACCTCACGGTGGCCGCCCCAGCCACTCAGAGCCACGCCCTCCGTGGGCTTCCCAGCCACCCAGGATGGATGGGCGAAGAGGAAGAAGCATCTATGTGTGGAGCAAACAAAACACTTTTAAACTCAGGCACACGTCACGAGGAACAGCTCCTTCTCCGAGCAGACCCCTGCAGTCGCTCTGCACGGCCTCGTCTGAGGTGGCCCAGACAGCCTCAGCTGTCACAAGGGGGCAAGTGCAGGGAGGAAGTGGCACCTGTTTACAGGTACTTAGCGCTTTCAGGTGATTATTCAAAGTCAAACAAAAAGTACTTGTGACAAGTCACAACTTGGTTTGCTATGCGTGTTTCTCTTCCATAATGCAGGGTGGGCTACAGTGAGAAGACAGGTAGGTCACGTGACAGGAAGAAACTAAAGATGTCTGTAAAATAGAACAAGTCAGAAAAGACCTCCACATTCAAGTACACTCAAGTTGGAGGCCGAGACTGGCCACGACCCTCCAGGAGCAGGGGGCTTCTGGTCAACCATGTAACCCAACTCTGTCCCAGGCAAGACTGAAACCTTTGGCCCAAAGCCCTCTGCCATTAGAGTTCTGCTGTCACCCAGAAATGCATTCAGAGGTTCATGGCTGCAGCTACAACCACACTTTATGCCTTCCTGAAATCTTTCTCAGAAAGTATCACACAGTAGCAGTAAAAGAGAGAAGCTGGCCCTCCCTGGTGGCGCAGCAGATTAAAGCACAGCACTAAGAAGCTAAAGCCACTGCAGCATGAGTTCGATCCCTGCCCTGGAGGTGACCACATGGCGCCGCAGACCTCTCCTGGCCCGCCCGCTGCTCCCCTCAGCAGTGCACTTCCCAGTCGGCCTGTTCTGCACCCTGCTCTGTGTCGGGTGAAGCCTCTCACCGCCCCGCACCTCTGGTCTACATGTACCCTAGCTCTGTATGCATAAATAAATAATCCTTAAAAAAAAAAGAGGGAGTCTTACCTGGTCACTCTGGCGAGCAAGGATGCCAACTTCTGTTGAAGCTGCAGATGCGGCCAGCACCAAGTCCCTTCAAAAAATAAAACCAGAAGACCATGAGATGCAAAGGATGACGGTTCTGACTTGACTCTGCCACAACACTATGTCTCTGAGGCCTGCCTCAGGAGGTCAAGGAGGGAGGTACGGTTTTCTACGTCCCTGGCGGTGGGAGATTTTAGATGTCGAGTATGCGACCTGCATACTCAGAGCAAGAGGACGTGTGCAAACTCAAGCCAGAATTCCCAGTCAGCACACCGCCGGAAAGAGTAGCCAAGACAGGAGAAGCTCTGCCTCGGGGTGGAGGGGGCCTTGTACCGTGGGCCTTACAGGCCGGTGTTTTCATTAAGTCACCTGTGAGGCTATTAAGAAACAGAAGCTGAACGACGACAGCGTATTCGGCCCGAGTTAGCAGGAAGCGGGCAGAGCGCACTGTGGCGCGCCAGCAGGGCCGAGGCCGGCTCACCATTCCTCGACGTGACTGAGGTAGTAGTGCTGCTGCCGCTCGGCGCAGCTGCTGTAACACGGCTCCATGAAGTTCACAAACATCTCCCGGTGCTTCTCTTCTTTTTTCTACAATGAACGAATGAGGGAAAAGTCTTGTACAATTTTAGCCTTTAAATCTACACAGTCAAGGTTCCTAAAAGACAAAAGCAATTAAATTGTACAAAAAACTCACTGAAAATCTGTGCGCCAAGGCAGACAGCCCAGGAGGCAGCGCTGAGAGGGGCAGGGCGCGGGCGCATCTGCTGGCCACTTGCTGGCGGGGGCCCAGCATGGATGGCCACTAAGCTTTCTGACAGTCTGCTCAACGTACAGCTGTTAGAACTCACACCTACCACACTCACGGCGAAGCTTTACGCGTGACACCAAACGACACCCGGAAGCTTCTAGCCCAGCACAGCGAACACACGCAGCCGAGGAGTGCTCACTTCATCCCCGGCAGTGAAAAAGCTGTCTTGAAACAAGGAAGCTCAAGGGATGCCAAGAACCTTAACAAGGCACGTCGTCGCACATCCGCTTGGCCACGTCAGAGCCACGCAGTGACACGAGCTGGCACCTGGTGCTGCACCACACGTGCAAACCACGTTTCTCAGCGGCACTGGCAGTGTGTTCAAGGCGCCCCCAAGCATGCACCTCCTGACCTACAGTGCCACTTCCCGCCAAAAACCAGAACCACGCCAAGTGCACAGAGAATGTGCCGCAGCATTCCGTAAAAAGGGAAAACAGCAACGTGGTAACAGCAGAGGCGAGCTGAAGAAATGACGGCCTGTGCAAAGCCAGAGGCAGATTTCCCAACATGGACAAGACGCTCAGCTTGCTACTAAGTGGAGCAAAATGGCCAGCAGCGCAAATCCTGTGCTGCATATTCAGACTGTGATGCATTATGAAAATATGGAAATGCAAAACTTATGTGCCGAAACATATTTCAGAATAGCAGAAGTGAATCTAAGTAATTGTTGTCTACAATAGGTTTATTTTGCTTATTTTGCCTAAAGAACTGGGTTACAGGCCAGAGGTGTGGGGGGGTGACAGAGTGGGGAGCAGAGCAGGGGGGTTCACTGAAACCCACTGCTGAGGGAGCAGCGTGAAAACAGGAGAGTCTGCGGCACCCTGGCCAGGGGCCAACTCAAGCCACCTGGTGACCGCACTGAGACACAGCCCAGAGGTCACCAGGGAGGCTCCTACAAGCCATTTTAAAAAAATCATTTAAATCACTATTTTGAGGGAGTCTTTGGCTAACCGGTATTTTCACATGTTCTTCTGGGCTTTCAAAGCGCGTACTGATTTGCAGGCCTAAGTTCTGACTCTTGTTTTCACCACCACTGGCATGTACCGGACCTATGGCCCGTGACCACTGCCCCCTCAGAAGGGCTCCCTCCCTCTCTTCGGCCCCAGTGGCTCCTGCCAGTCCTCTTGGCTACCTCATCCACTGACCAGCACTCCGCTCTCCCTCTATCCCTCTCTGTGCTCCCATCTCCCTCAGCATGCCTGTTCTCACTTCAGCGCATCCAAGAGATGCACATTCACTGTGTCGCTGAAACCAGGGCGGCTGCTGCGAACACCGCTCTACTTTCCGTTTTAAAACAGTGCCCAGCATTTTGCAGGCCTCACACCCAATGAATAACTACCAGAAAAAGCCAACATACTTTGTAGCTATTGGAAAGTTCGGTCTCTCAATCTTCAGCAGCAGCTTACACAAAAGCGCGTCTTCCACTGCTCCTAGACAGTGAAGACGGCAGTGGCGCGGCCTGGGCCGTCATGCGGGGCTGGTCTCGCCTGGCCGCAGCTGCACAGCTACAGGAAGGAAACTGAGGTCTCGAGCTGGGTCATAGTAACTGCGCGTTACGCACACAAGTCGACTTCGGCACAGGCAAGCAGCAGGCAGCACGCTCAGAGCGAGCAGGCCCAGCGACCTGCGCAACAGCGCCCCTCCCTGCACGTACCGGGAGCAGGGCCATGACCACGTCCGGCGACGTCTCCAAGGTGCCATCTGCAGCGGCGTACACGATGGTGAAGACGTACGTGCCGACCCACAGCACATCCAGAACTGGAAAACACAGGCTGGGTAAAGCTTGTGCTGTCGGGAACAGCCCCTGTGGGTCGCGCTCCACAGCACAGGCTGTGCTCGGGCTGGCTGCAGCTTAACAGAGGCCAGATCTCACTGACTGAGCAAGACAGACTCGGGAAGCCCATGTCACACCCCCGCAGAGTGCAGCTCCCGATGAAGCGGCTGAGCTGCAGTGATACAGAATTCTGAACAAAACTCAGGACCCATTTGCTGTGCTCCAGAGGAGACAGGTGCCCGCCAGTGGGTCACGCCACTGCTGCTGGGCTGAGTGAGACGGTAGGAGTGTCACAGGAGGCACCAGCGCATCCTGCGCAGCCAGGAGCACCTCCTGTGGCCTGAGAGGTGGCTGCAGAGTGCCCCTCTTAGGGGATCAGCCCGGCATTACCTCTGACGGGGTGATCGGCCTCATAAAACGGTGGGCAGGGAATGACTTTTTTTTCCTGCAGAGTCTGAAAGAGATTTGGAAAGTCAGCATCAGGTGAAACAATTCCCAAATGAACAAAACTCCGTCAGATCCGTTATGTTCCCCCTGAAAGCCAGCCACGTCTGCTCTTCTGAATGAGGGGCGGGCGCATGGAGAAGAGCGGCCAGCGACTCAGAGGACTGAACCTACGCAAGGGTGCCCCCACAGCATCCAGCAGGGAGGAGGGTGCCCAGCACGACAGCCGCAGCAGCGGCGCCACTGTGCGGCCAGCACGGCACCACCCACACCCAGGCCAGCGGCCGCCATTCAGGGGAACAGGACGCGGGAGACTACTGTGCTCGTTTTCCGTACAGGCCAGCGGCAAGCCAGTGGAACGCCACCAACTGCATGGCTTTCTGATGGCTACTGCCGTGAAAGGAAATAAATCAACTCTTCATGTAACAGCCTTTTTGCGACAGCAAGAAGTGAAACCTTGACCACACAGCACCACTCTGCACCCCGAGAACAGCCTCACAGAGGGACATATGACATGGGCCCCACCCCCCAGCACTGACTCTGGTCGCCCCCACACTCCACGCAGGACACTCGGGTTGCCAATTAAGGGGAGTACTTGAGTCATGTCTCGGGAAGCCGGGGAGAAGGTGACGGGACACGCAACACCGGGAGGGCTGGTCTCAGGTGCCTGCAGCTGCAGAAACTGCCCTGAGACGACGCCGAGGGGACAAGCTGCTTCCAGGGAGTTGATGCTGCAGAGCTCTATTCCAGGCCTCATCCCGGAAGCTCAGTCTGCATGGAATGGGTTGGGATTTAAAGTTGGTGTGCCAATTTCATCACTTCATATTTGAAGAAATGCATCCATACACAGGCTACAGATTCTACTAGTAGAGAAAGTAGAACCCTTCTGTCAGGTAGATTTGGTAGTTATTTGGGGTCTGAGAACACACAAAAGCTTTCCATATTAGCCAGTGGTCCTCACGCTCCCAGCCCCAGAAATGCAGCTACAAATCACACCCAGCAGGAACACGGCACCATGACAAAGTGGGGAAACATGGACTGGCATCCGTGTCCACAAGTCTGGGAAGCCGCCACTGAACAGAACACGGTGGAAGGCTGTGGGAGGAGAGCTGTGGGGCTGAGGGAACGTTCCACGCTGACAACAACGAATGCTGGCGAGAGTGTGGAGAAAAGGGGCTCTCCTGTGCTGCTGGGGTACACTGGCTAACCAACGTGGAGAGGTGCGGGGGCCTCAGACCGCCACCAATGGAGCTGCCACAGGCCAGCAACCCACTCCTCCGGATCCACCCAAAGGGCACGGAGACATTCACTGGAAAGGAGACATGGCCCCCATGGTTACGGCAGCACGATTTACGGTAGGGAAGGCCTGGAAACGACCCAAACGCCCAAAAGCAGACGGCCGGCTCGAGACGATGTGGCCACATGCACCATGGAGTATCATTCAGCAACCCAATAAACTCATGCCACTCGCTGCAGCATGGATGGAGCTGGAAGGGATCACGCCTGGTGAACTAAGCCAAAGGGAAAAGAGAAGTAGAGAATGGTTTCACTTGTAGGAGAAACATAGGTAAGAGGTCAGGGAAAAACCTATCAATAATAAAAAATAACAAGAAAACCATCAGGGAGCCATAATCAGAGACATCCTGCTGGGTGGGGAGGTAAAGGGTCAGAAGAGAGATGAGCGTAAGGGACGATGGCGACGGCTCTCAAGTGAATTGTGGTAGGAACTTGACGGGGAATACAAAATGATGTAAAAGACATAAATAAAAAAGCTAAATTAAACATAAAGAAAAAGTCTGCTCTTTCTAGTGATACTAGTGAATTTGTGCAAAAAGCAGATACGACATTTCCACAGAAAAAACAACGACTGTCAAACCACCCTCAACAGCTCGCGATGGCAGTAAGAGAAGTTCTGCAGTCCGAGGCGAGACTTACGGGCAGGTACTGCACCACAGTTCCATTCTGCTTTCCCACGGCCAGCTGCTTTCCTTTGGGGCTCCAGCACACTGCGCAGACAAGAAATGCTACCCATCAAGAACGGAGCAAGCCAAGAGGCCTGCACCAAGACAGCCACACAAGCCCCACTTCTGGTTCCTGTCACGGGCAACGTATGATCATACGTTGCCTTTTCGAGGGCACAGTGCCCAAAATTCTGGTAAAAACAGAAAACTGGCCCTCCCTGTTGGCGCAGCGGGTTAAAGCACAGCACTGAGAATCTAAAGCCGCTTCCGCATGAGTTGATCCCCGCCTGCCCCAGAGGCGACCACATGGCGTGGCAGACCTCTCCTGACCCGCCCGCTGCTCCCCTCAGCAGTGGACTTCGTCGATCTGCCTGTTCTGCTCCCCGCTCTGTCTCTGGTGAATCCTCTCACCCTCCGCATCTCTGGCCTGTACCCCAGCTCTGTATGAATAAATAAATCTTTAAAAAAAAAAACACACACAGTAAACTGTCGTCTGATGTAGACAGGAAAAGATGAGGTTTTCAACTATCAAGAAATCACTCTCCTGCTACTCATTTCGAGTGCTTTCCCCTCGGGCACAGTGACTTGCAGAGGAATGCCCTTTTCGATCTAGAAAGCACTGTGCTCAGAACCAGCTCTAAACCAGCTGGACCAAAGTGTTTGTTTCTCCAGAAAACGTAAGCATAAGAGTCATGTGTATGCTCTGGCTTCCAGGCCACAAACTGTAGCAATAAAGAATGCTTTCTCCACTTCTACCAAACAACAAATACAACAAAAATCCTGCTCGCTTTTATTCCCCAAATTAATTTTAAGAGATTCCATTGCTGTACGTCACTGAGTGAAGGCCTTTGTTACCCACCAGATGTCACCGCTACCGTGGAAGGAAGCGTTGCACACACTTTCACTGTTTCTGTGACTTGCAGGACAGCGATGCTGCCATCGGCCAGACAGACTGCCACCATGGAGGGCACAGTGGGGTTCCACTTCATATCAGTCACCATGCCTCCCGCATCTTTCAAAAGCTTATGATAGGCAAATGGGCGTTTCTGCGGCTTAGCCTTCCAAAACAAATGCCCAGAGGCGAAAACCAGTTAGTAAATGAATAACAGGGAGACATTTAACAGTCTAAAAAAATTATTGAATATGCAGGTTTTCTCAAGTCGCAATTCACCTTCCTCCATAACCATGAGAAAAAAATTAGCTCTGCCAACAAACTACATGTTAGAGACAATCCAGCAACACCGTGAGGTGAGATCAGTCACTCCAGCATCCGCGGGGTGCCAGGAGAGGAGAGGAATGCAGGGGTGTGAAGCCATCGATGAGAAGCAGATGCTATGCTGGAATCCCAGCCCTGCTTAACAGAGCTGAGCCCCCAGACAGCGACTTACACTCTGGGCCCACCTCTGTCTACAGGAACGGCAAAACCTACCACGAGGCCCCAGCTGGTGTAAGCAAGGGCAGATGGGGAAAGCCCAGCGCAGGGCTGGCGCCCAGTCAGTACCAGTGCTCAAAGCTGTGGGCTCTGGTGGCCACTAAAATGCTTGGAACGGATGAGACCGCACTAGGAGGTCAGAGCCCGGGCCAGAGGAGCTGACACTATTACCTTCATGGCCTGGGCACGTCACCCAGGGCTCTCTGGACTCTGACTCTATGCGAATAAGAGTAACACCTTAGGTGGCATGATGAAGTAAATAAGTCCCTGCTACTTCAAAGGTCTAGAAAAAGATTTCTAAAGTCAATCAAGAACTTTGAGGTTGTGATCAAAACCAGGAAAGGCAATCTCCTTCCAGTCCCACATCGACACTCAAGTGCCAGTAGCTTACCTCATTCGAAAACGTGCGGACGTCAAAGAAGGCGATAATGGCGCCATATTCGCTGGACATCATGCATGCGGACAGTGTCAGGTTATCGCAGCTCAGGGCCAGGTGGTGTATGGGGAACTTCATAGGAACTAGCAAGCTTTGCACTTTATCAACTACGAAAATTAAAAAAGATAAAGCAGAAGACAGACTATTCTGAGTATGAGCCACAACCCCTTTATCCAAAACACAAAACCATTTGGTATCTAAATAAACATCCCTGGTGGCCTAGGGCTTGAGTCTCAGAGTTATCACTCCCAGCCAGGGAGTGACCCACGGGGCACAGCAGAACCCTTCTTGTCTCGCCGGCTGCACCCCTCAGCAGGGTATTTCATTTAGTCCACCTGTCTGCTCCCCACTCTGCCTCTGGTCAATCCTCTCACCTCCGCACCTCTGGCCTGCACCCCAGCTCTTGTGTGCATAAATAAATAAAGACATACACACACACACACACCCTGCAGCTAGTCAAGCACAGAAGTCTATAACGATGCACTAAGTATTCCAGAGACTCTTCCCCCTATGACCTGGGGAAACTGACTGCGGCTCTTGGTGAAAACAGTGGGCTGTTTTTTTGTTTTGCCAGAATGCTCCAGAGAGTACACATTTCCACTCATTTGGATAATCCCGTTGGCACCAACTAAAAAGTGTGCATCAAACCCCTTCTACAGAGCCAGAGCCTAAGCCAACTGGGCAAAACAAAAGCATGGACAGTGGTAAATTCTGCTTCCCTCGGAGTTCGGAGGAACAACTCATCCCATGAATAACACAAAGGATCAAAGAAAATACCTAGAAAGTCATCCAGCGTTCTTCCTGGAAGGTCCTACGCGCTCACCCTTTGGACTAACAACAGCTTTAATATCAGAACTATTTCTTAGGAAAAAACACTGCACTAGCATTCCATTCCACTCCTCGCCCTTCTATGCAACCTAGGTCTTCCAACCCTATCCTCTACAAAACATTAAAAAAAAAGAGGCACCTTACCTATCTTATTGGGGTCGTCTCCAGGTTTATTTTGAATAAGGAGGTTTTTAGTAGGGAAAACTTGCAAGCCACTGGTTCCACCAGCAAAGACCAGCCCATACTTGTTAGACACGGCAAGCAGACTGGCGCGCTCTTTGGGCAATTCTTCAGGAGAGTCAAAGAGTCTCACTTTCTTCAGTGCTCTAAACTGAAAATCCTGTTGTGAGGGAGCAAAGCAAGGCCAATTCAAGGAAAACAGCAAATCATATCATGTCCACCATATTCCAACAGAATCACAGTCCACGAACATATATGCCAACAGGCAGGAGGCCAACTTGTCTGAGGTTCCCGCGTGTCACGTGGCACCTGGCACAACTCTTACCGCTTGCTGAGTAAATGAAAACTACTTCACAAAGCTCTGCTCACTAATCAAGCTCACAATAATCTTTTCCTTTTCTGAAATTTTAGCTTCCTCATAATGAATTTATTTCTCATAATCTTGCCCTATTTTTCATTATCTCATGACCTAGAGAAGAGCTCAACGAAGCGTTGTTCCACACTGTTCAATGTCACTCAACGGTACTGTATGCTCAGACGTTCAGTACAGCATTCAACAAATAAACAAATATTGAAACAAACACAGAAAAGCATTGAATGCCCAAACTGGCTGACTTGCAATAAATGCTAAATAAGATTTCATGACAGCAAAGGGCAGGAACTGTCAATATCCTGGCGCTCAAATCTCTAAATAGAACGCAATGCTACGAAGGTGTCAAAAAGCACAAATCCGGGCCTCCCTGGTAGCACAAGGAGTTAAGTCTCAACACTATGAAGCTATCAGCAGTCACTGCAGCAAGAGTCTGATGATCCCCAGCCAGGGAGTGACTCACAGGGCGCAGTAGACCTCTGTGGTCTCCCCGCTGCTCCCCTCAGCAATGTTTGAGTGGAGCCACCTGTTCTGTTCCCCACTCTGTCTGGTGAATGCTCTCACCCCAGCACTTCTGGCCTACACCCCAGCTCTTGTGTGCATAAACAAGTCTTAAAAAAAAAAAAAAAAAAAGCACAAATCCCAAACCCTTGACAGCCTTCAAGGCCAAGCAGGCTTTCATCTGTCCTGTCCCTCCTGCAGCCTCCTTCCAGAGATTCACTTCCCTCTGACATAGGCCAGAACAGCTCCCACCTCAGGGCAGACTTCACTTCTTTCCATTTCTAGGTTTTTAACACCTCCAGGCGTTAAACTTCTCTGGCTGGGCGCTTTCCCTGATCTCATATGAATGTCTGAGTAACTTAGCCTTAAAACAATGTATCTATAGGCTTTCAAAGACCATTTTCCTAGTAGTGTACCACCTTTTGGTGAAGTTTTACAAGTTTGCCAAGCACAATATTAACTTGTAGGATCGTTTACTTTCTTCCTTCAATTCTAAATAAATCTTTAAAGTAAAGGGCTTGGTGAAAGGAATGTGAATTTGCTTTTGCTTAAGTTGCAAAGTGCAAACCTCAGAGAGTCTTTCTCAGCCTTCCTTTTTTATACCAGGTTCTAATGGTGTTTCATACTGGACCCTAACACACCCACACACTCATTTCCTTTGAGTCAATGTTGAAGACATAGTGTCTGAAAGATAATAGAAATACTAGTCTTCCAACTAAGTCACCAGAAATTCACAGCTTTCCAGGTGAGAGTTTACTATGGCTCCATACAAAGACAGAAATGCATTTCCATGGTTTTTCTGTAATCCTCTTTTAGGTAATTCCCCATACACTACCGAAGTCTGATCACAGGGTGTAGTGTCAGTCACGGGTTGGAAGAGGCATAAGAGAGCTTCCTTCCTGTCGCAGTCAGTCATTCAAAGGGGGCACTATCGTGTTCAGAGTCTGTGACTCCAAGATCTTTTTTTGTCGTGCTCCATCATATCTAAGGAATATGACCCACGTGGGCAGCTACGCCCTGCAATCGTTTCCAAGCAGAAACAAAGAATCCCTACTCGACCAAATGCGGGTCAGTAGCCTGCTGTTCAAATGCCCACAATCTTCCTGCAACGTCCTCCTTTTCACGTGTCGGTTTAATAACCGGCTGGATCGCTGCGCCTCCATCCAGTCAGAACAACCATCATTTGGACCACCTGCCTCATGATTCCCCTTCGGGGTGGATTTCCCTGTCTTCCCGTTTCAGTTGACTAAAGGCTGAGTAAGGACAGGTGAACCCTAACTCCTCGTTTGGCAAACCTGAAAAGAAACGTGAAAACGGTGGGCTTAAGTGGGAAACCCTGCTTAGACGTGGCTCCGGGAAGTTCCCTCCGAGCCCCCACTTGCTCCGCCATGTGCACGACTATTTCACAGGGCTGCTGTGCTGGTGACCGCCGATTAAAGGCTCATTAACCTACTACTGATAGTTAACTGCCACTTCTCCGACCACCCCAGGAAGCGGTCAGGGTGGCTCCGGCGGCGCGCGGAGACCGACTGCGCGGGGAAAGCGCTCTCGCAGGCGCGATCTCACCGCGGGGCGCAGCGGCCAGTCGGGTCGCGCAGGTGAGATCCCCGAAGGCGGCAAACTGTTCAGCGGGAGGCGGGGCAGCCGGCACCCGCGCCTCGCCGTCCCGCGGGCTCCAAGGCAACGCCGGGACTAAGGAAGGGAGGGAGGCCCCGACCAGTCTCTGACCTTCATCTCCCGCTCAGGGATCATGGCATCCATTTCGTCTCCCATCGCGTCGCCCTCCGTTGGTCGAAGCAGGGGCCGCCGCCGCCGCCGCCCGTGGCCTTGCCCACACAGCCCAGGCCGCTCTAAAGCCAACTTCCTTCTCTCCGCACAAACTGCGCGCCGTAACCCCCGCATTTCCGGCGCGCCTTGTGACGTCACACGCCTCTTTCCTCCCTATGCTCCGGTGGGGGGCTCAGGGACCGCGTTTGTAGCGCGCAATCTCGACCACCGCCTTTCATTGGTCCGTTCGGTCTGAACGGGGCGTGGTCCCAAGGCCCGCGCCTGCGCCCCGGCGCCCCCCGGAGCCACGCCCACGTCCGCAGATAGAGCGGACGGGTTTCGTGATGGTCTCGTTCTTGCGGTGGCGTTCGCCCCAGCGTTGCAGGCTCTTTGTTCCCTGCAGGCTTCAAGGGCAGCCTAGACAGTGGGTGGTTACTAATAGCTCCCTATTCAGAGATGTTAAGAATTTAACATAATCCCGGGGCAGCCCTTGAGCTTTGGAGGGGCGTGTGCAGGAAACGCGGCTTAGAAAGTGAGAGGGGGCGCCCTCGCCGCGGGAGACCCCATTCCGCCTAAGCCGAGGGCTGAAAGGGAGTCTGTGGGCACCAGAGATCAACTGTTGACCACGTTCAAGATAATCGTTTCTGGAATGTAGCCTGGAAGCTGCGCAAAAACACATTAAATGTTATTTACTCTTGGTGACATCCTGCTTGCCTCGGGGCTACTATTGCCATTTATTTGAGTTCATGGAAGCCCTGAGACCCTAAGAAAATCCCCTACCCTCCAAAAAGTGGAGTGAGAATTCCTCTTGTCTGGCTTTGCTGGTGGACAGTGACACAATCCTACCCAGAAATTTTTCCACTGGACTTATGCAACAGGTGCTGAGATTCTTGATTTGGCATCTGAGCCAGGTGAGGGATGGAGAAGGGAGGTGGCTTATACTGCGACTAACTGGTTTTCAGCAAATTGCTTATCTGCTCCAAACTTGCTTCTAGTTGAAAAAACAAACATGACATCACCGAACCTGTCTGGTGTTAGGAGTCCACAGAGCAGGGTCTGGCACACAGGATGCATTCAGATCGCTGCTAATTTTGCTTGCTCTTCTGATATGCCCCATCTATAAACTTCCCAAAATACACCCCCCAAGACACTGTAAGTTTGTCTGTTTTATTTCATCCGAACAGATGATGCCCCACATCACACACTCATGCGCACACACGCACACACACACACACACACACACACACACACAACTTCGTCCAGCTGAACTTGCTGGACAAACTCCTTCCTCTTGAGTCACAAGGGCAAAGCCATAGTTGACAGTCCCCAAGATGCTCATTACATTAGTTAGATTTGGTCTTTTAGAAAGAAGAGAGCTGAAGTTCTAAGATGAGCCCTTAGCTGGAAGAACGCTCCAGCCAATAGCCGTAACCTGAAACATTTGCAGAAATCCCCCCTTTCCAAGGGCTACTTGAGAGCTCCCCTTCCTCCAGGCGCTGAGTCCCAAGAAATGGTAAAGGAACTGGCAGGGTTTCCCAAGACACCCCCATCCAATGAGAGAACTCTTTCCTGCCCTTTCCAGAAGCTGAGGACACAGGCGCCCGCTCTCCTCCTGTTCTATAAACTTCCTGTTCTATGAAACCCATGGGAATCATGTTGGTTCTGATCTCCCTGAGCGAGGGGCAGGGCACTCCGCCTATGGTGGGCTGTCAGGGATGGCTGACCTTGCTCAGAGGTCTCTGTTCCAGAGAGGAGGTGCAGTGGGAAGGGGAGGGGACAGGCAGTAGCTCATCAACAGACTTCAGGGAGACAGAAGGCTGGGTGGTGGTGAGATTTTACATTTACAGGAAGGAATGTTTTGCTGGGGTTTAAACTTCAACTAAGCCTGTGCATTTGAAGTAGCTCCTTAGGCTGAAAATCAGCCAGTCATGGCCAAATTAACTTGCTCTTGAACTGGAGACCACAGATTAACCCAACCTGGCCCTTTCCCCACCCAACCTGCTCCACTCTCAAATGCTGTCGGGCAGCTCCGTGCACCTGTGATTGTGGGGCACTGGGGAGCCTTGTGGAGTCCCTGCTGGCGCCAGCCTCCATTGGCTCCGAAACCTATCACTTAAGTTTGCGACATGCTCAACCTTGGGCTCAGCTAAGCCCCCCAGGATGGCAGTGTCATCACCCCACTCCCCCTTCCCAAATGATCATCTCACTTGTCTGTCTCTGAGTCTACCCCAGACTCCGAATTCCTCCAGACTGTCCATTTCACCACTGCGTTCTTGGCCCTGGCTCACAGCTGGCACATTATAAGTATATTAACTGTGTGGGTGCATCAAAGTTGGCTCCCTGCTCAGCCTAGATAGGGTCAAGTGGGTCGTCCTCCTGTCTGAGAAGTGGCTTGGTCAAGAAGACGGAAGGCAGAGCTGCAGAGGGAGGCCTGGTTCCTGCAGACTTGCAGGGTGAGTCTTGGCCCCAGCCAGCCCCTCCTGTTGATCCAGGAGGCGACCCATTCCCACCACACCCTCTGACTGTTGAAAGAGGCAGCCCGAGTACACAGAAGCAGGCAGGACACAAGAACTCCTGGGCTCTGGTCCAGACTCTCCCCTCTGCAGATTACCCCTGACCTTGAGCAAGACACTTAATCCCAGGGAACCACCAGCTTCTCACCTGTGAAATGAGAGGACTGGTCCAGCTAGCCTTCAGGGGGTGGGGGTATGAGGGGAGAAGGGCTCTAAAGCTCTAAAGCCCTGTGAGTCCGTAAAAGGCCCAAGATGACCACAATCCAGTCCCCAAGCTCAAGGTTCTGGATGATTGGGAAATGAGAGATGAGTTGGGAACACAGACACAAACATGATCAGGACAAAGTGGAGGAGGGGAAGACTTAAAGCTTATAATAGGTGGTCAATAAATGTCTGTTGGGTGAATGAGTGAATGGTGTGAAGTGAGGAGCGAGTGGATGGGCATGTCATTTCCGGCAGGCAGAGGTTGTCTTTCTAGTCTCTTTCCTCAGCCCCTCGTAGCAATGGTGTGCTTGGCCATGGGCATCTTATTCCTCTTTCTCCTGCCCTATTACCCTCAGCTTCCTCCCTAAAAGCTGGAACCTGGCTGAGTGAGCTCCAACCCCAGGATGGGGGCCGGGGGGGGGGTGTTGAGATTCCTCCTGGAACCTTCTTGAAGGGCTGAAATGGCCAAGCTCCCATCCTTCCCTCCTGTCATCTCACTGAGGATGAGAAGCATGGCCCGAGGGGTCATCTGGGGCAGTGCGGCATCCCGTGGCCACATCTTGGACCACCCCGAGCACTGATTACAGAGCTGCCCAGGGACACCCCAGTGGGGCCCTGGGGCCCTGTCCCTCCTACTCTAGGGTGTAATGAAAGTGGCCCAAAGTTGCCACAGGGGCCAGACTGCTGAGCATGGGCTTAACCCAGAGACCTCCCGGCAAGAGGGACGATGTCAGCTCCAAGCTGGAAGCAGCTTCCGCTCTTCCTGCCCGCGCCCTGCACCCTTCAGCTTTCTGCTGTGGTGTCAGCCCTTCTGCGTGGAGAGGAGAGAAGAGGGGAGAAGAAAGGAAGGGGACCCAGGGGCCCTTTAAGGCAGATAGCTGTGCTTTGCAAAGAGACCATTAATTCTGCCCAGTGAAAACACAAACACGACCAATGAAACGAGACAAATCGCAGTGAGGTTGGGGGGCAGGCAGGGAGGGCAGGGGCAGCTGGGGGCAGGTCTGCTCAGGGCAGGCTGGCAATGTCTCTCTCAGGAGGGGGCCCAACCGGCTTGGGGCTGCTCTCGTTGGCTTTTCCTTCAAACATCATGACTCTGGTTTGGATACGGAGGGAAAAAAAATATAACAGAATTAGGACCCCTTCTGCCGCACAGGCCCCCGTCCCAGCCCTCACGCCTGCGGGGTCTCTGCAGAATGCCACGGGGCCATTCTCCAGAAGAGTCTTCTCAGAAACCCATGATGGCAGCTGCGTGGAAGGGGCTTGGTTCCATTTGACAGAGGAGGAAGCTGAGCCACACTGGCTGTGTGATCCCCACAAAGCGCCCCCCACCCCCCAGCAGTGCGAGGCTCCAGATGTGACTCCCGTAACCAGGCAGCCTGTCGGGGCTCTGCCTGGGATTCCTTGTCATCTTCCACCCTCCCACACACACACTGCTGTTAAGGCTGAGGGACTCAGTGTGTAGCCCCAGAGGGGGCCATCCTGATTGCAGCTCCCGGCCTGCTACCTCCCAGCTGGAGGCTTCCAGCAAGACCTTCAAGCCCCACCTGCAGCAGGCTCCTCCTGCTCACAGCCCGCTGGGCCCTGCCTGCTCCGCTGGCTTTAAATCCCATCCAGAGAGAGACAGTCTGGTCGCTGAAGCCTGGCCTCTGAGCCCCAGATTTGCACCCAGCTGCTCCTCAACCTCTCCCCTGGGCTGTGCACAAGGCTCGCTCAGTCCAACACCCCTAAGCCACGGCCTCCCCAGCTGCGCTTCCCCCAAAGCAAACAGCTACTCGGAGACGCAGATCCTGGAGACCATCATCTGAGCCTTCGTTTTCCTTTCACCCCACATGTGGGCGTTGAGCAGTTCTGCGGGCTCTCCCAAGCCCCCGGGCCCTGCCCGCCTCCGTGGCAGCCTCCCCAGGCTCCGTGGCCTCATTCTTGCCACACAAAGGCATGGGCGTCCTGTAGTCTCTCTTACCCTGGCTGCAGCCAGAGCGAGCCTTTAGAAAACCCAGGTCCTAGCTTAGGGTACCCGGCAGCATTCCTGCATGTCAGTATAAAATGCTTAGTCTGGGCCCTCCCTGGTGGCGCAGCGGGTTAGAGCGCAGCACTGAGAAGCTAAAGCCGCTTCCGCATGAGTTCCATCCCCGCCTGCCCTGGAGGTGACCCACAGGGCACGGCAGACCTCTCCTGACCTGCCTGCTGCCCCCCTCAGCAGTGGACTTCATCAATCTGACTGTTCTGCTCCCCGCTCTGTCTCTGGTAGATCCTCTCACCCCCTGCACCTCTGGCCTGTACCCCAGTTCTGTATGCATAAATAAATAAATCTTAAAAAAAAATGCTTAGTCTGGCCAAGTTTATGGGGCTCCGTGGGGCCTGACTTCTTCACTCACTGCACTGCAGACACACGCCTCTGTGCTGTTCCTTAGTCCTGCCCCGGGACCTTGGCACATGCCATTCCCTCACGTTTTCACCTGCTCATCTCTTTACACCTGCCTCACAGAGGGCCCTGGTCAAACGCCGCTTTCCCGGTGACACCTTCCAGCTCGCCATCCACCCTTTTCTGTTGCTCTTACCCACTTTCTTTTTCTTTTTTATCCCAGACCATCACCCTCTGTGGCTTGGTGTTTGTCTGTCTCGTCACTAGAAGCTCCACAGGGGGACTTCTCTGGTGGCGCAGCACCGTGAAGCTATCACAGCCACTGCAGCGTGAGTTCGATCCCCAGCCAAGGAGGGACACACAGTGCAGCAGACCTCTCCTGGTCCCCTCAACAGTGTATTTCAATTCATCTTCCTGTTCTGCTCCCCTCTGTCTCTGGTGAGTCCTCTCACCCTGTGCCCCTGCGACTCTGGCCTGCACCCCAGTTCTTGTGTACATAAATAAATAAATCTTAAAAAAAAAAAAAAGCTCCATAGGGCTTCACGGGTCCCTGGCACCTAGAATAACTCCTGGCACATAGCTGGTGCTCAATAAATGTCTGCAAACTGACGAGTGAGCAATCTAAGGAGCCACATAGCAGCGGCGGCGTCCGAGTGGCATCACCATCTGGCCTTGTAGCTCAGGAAAGCATGAGATGCCCAGGGTTTTCTTGCAGCAGGAAGAACCTACAGTGCAATCCCAGCCACCAGGTGCGGGGTGCCTGCACCTGCCAGGCACTGAGTGGAACTCTGCCAGGCCCACTGCGAGGGCCCATGCCTCTGCGTGGGCCCAGGCCGGGGAAGGAAGGCAGCTTCAGAAAAATGAAGGCCCTGACCCGTGGCCACATAGCTTCCTACTGGCTGGCATGGCCGAGGGGTCCAAGCCAGGGGTGTCTCCACACGGCGGCCCCAGAGAGGGGGTCACTCACAGCTTGAGCACGGCCGAGCGCTTCCCCAGCATCATGTTGACAAAGTCTCGGTAGGAGATGGTGTCGCTGACGCCACCCGTCACCTCGGAGATCATCTTCTTCATCTCCAGGTGGGTCTTGGGGACCCCAAGCTTCTCCATCATCCTCTTTAGAGACATCAGGTCTGCGGGGGGTGGGGGGTAAAGCAAGCCCATTTGGCGGGGACAGGCTGCTGGGAGGGGCCGCTCCCTGGCTGTGCTGATGGGCTTTGGCCAGCAGGGAGATAGAGCCGTCGCCGCCCTGCTCTCTGGGAGCCGCACGGACTAGCAGTTAGGGACGCGGGCTTCTAGCGAGGGACAGGTGTGGGTTGGCATCCAGCTCTGCTATTCCTGGCACACGCCCCAAGCTCTCTGAACCCTGCTCCCGCCAGTGGTGACAATGGCTGATGGGTCCTTCGGAGCACCAGGCCCAAAGGGGGGCCCGGGAAGACTGCTCTGGACTCCCCTTAAAATCTCTGCCTCTCCCTGAGGTTGGGTGCCGCTCCCTGGCAGCTCCTATTCCCCCACAAGTCACCGCCACCAAGGTAGGGGCACGGCATCAGCCAGAGACAGCTGTGGAGTCCCTCCCACTCCCTTCCCGCCGGCCCAGGCCTCACCTCACCAGCAGGGGCAGGCTGCCAAGACTTTCCTGGGCAGCACAGAAGGACAAAGGTCACGAAGAACAAGGGGGGGCACCCAAAAAATCATTTCAACCCCATGAGGTGCACCTCGGGGCTCCAGAGACCTTCACACAGTTTCCCTCAGCTTGTTCAGTGAACAGTGGGTCAGCCAGGGGTGGCCAGGAGCGGCCCCAGCTCATCCAAGGGGCAGGGCTGGGGCCAGACCCCTCGGGGCCAGGAAGTCCAGAGCATGTCAAAGAAAGCGGGACAGCGGTCTGTGGGAAGAACTGAAAGGTCTTCCACTTGCTGCTGGCCAGACTGGGAACTGGCCAGAACTTTCTGGAAGGCAATTTGGCGCATCGCCTCAGACGCCTTTGACCCAGACTGTCTGATTCCTGGGATTTATGCTAAAGAAACAGCGACATGGACAAAAGCGTTCTCCACGGGATGGTCCGTAGCGTCCGCCTGGAAGTGTCTAGGTGGGCAGCGCGAGGGGCTGCTGGCAGAAGTCGCGGCCCATCCCCGGGTGGGCACAGCGCGGCCACCGGTTCCATGCCAAAGAGAAGTTAATCGTCTCAAGATACTCCCAGTGCTGTAACGTGCTCACAAAGGGAGGCTCTAAAACGCTCGTAAGCAGCGCTGTGCGTTGAGCAGAGTGGAGGGCTGACTATCCATCGAGCTCAAACAGTAATTTCTGGAAGGTGGGGCCATGGGGCTTTGTCTGTGCTTTGCTAAATGTTTATGATGAAATGCATGAGTTTGATGATGCAAAACAATTCAAAAGAGGAAAACAGTGATCCAAATATTCAAAAGGGAAAAGGACAAGGGGAGGGAGGACGAGCAGAAAAGCTGGGGGTGACCATGGCACTCGCCGCAAGCGGGGAGGGAAAAGCTGGGTGCCGGGCCTGCCACCCCAACTGATGCCCCTTGAGGTTGGTTCACCTTTCTGAGTCTCAGTTCCCTCATTTGTAAAATGGAGGCAATTAAAGTGGCCTCGCCCACACCCTGGCGTTCCTGGGGTGGCCGAGCCGTGGTCTGAATGCACGGGCCTGGCCAGCAGGACAGGGGGGCGCTGCGGGAGGGAAGCCCCTGGGCAGACAGGACAGCCGCGGGGTGGTCGGGACAGCCGCAGAGCGGACAGGTTTGGGGACAGAGGCAACACCCACCCGGCATGACTTTGGCCTCCACCTTGGGGGGCCCGAGCATCTCAACATGACCCCCTGCCCCCCCATCCAATTCCCTGGTGTGATCAGGGAGGCGCGAGGCGGGAAGAAGTGGGAGAGTCTGGGGCAGTGGGTCCAGGCCGGGCTCACTGGGGAAGGTGCCCACGATGCTGTTCAGACCACGAGAGCACTGTGCCCTGGCCCACGTGGTAGGACTCCACGCCCCTCCACCCTGCCCTGCACCCCCAAGGCCTCACTCACCAATTTCGCCTTCATTGTTCAGGTCAAACTCCATGTACTTCTCTGGGAATCCAAGCAAAAACTGGCATTAGCTTGGAAGCAGGGTCGCCCCCTGAGGACAGCAGTCAGGTCTTCCGGAGCCCCCCACCCCTCCTCACCCGAGTCCTCTCATCTCGCCCTGTTTGTGTCCTGTCCCACAGACATAGGGGAGGGGCGCTGGGCTAACCCTCTGGCCAGAAGGGCAGCTGCCTCCGCCTGGCCCACACGGGTGCAGGTGGGCTGCGCAGTGACCGGTAGCTGGAGTCCATTCCCAACTCCGGGAACTGGGTCTGCCGGCCAGGGGCAGCAAGAGCTGTTTGCAGCGTCCAGGTGTTTGTCTAGGCCCCAGATGTGGGCGTGCTGGCTTAGGAAAACTGGGGGGATGTTCTCCCCAGAGAGGCCTGTGGGCCTGCCCTTGATCAGGGACCTCCCCAAAACCTCAAGCGTGGCCTTGGAGTTGACCCTCCTTATCAAGGCGTGCGGGACCCTCCGGCAGGGAGGGAGGGAAACATGGAGCGGGGGCTGGGCATCCACATGAAGGCCCTGCCCACTGCAGCCAGCGGGCACCCCAAGCCCAGTCGGGGGCGCCCCGCCCCAGCTTTGCTCCCCTCTGGGCCACTGGGGCTGGGCGGGATGGTGGGCTGGGCTGGCAGGATCTTTGCTCCAGCTCCTTTCTCTCCTGTCTTGTTCAACGGCAGAAGCGCGCCTCTGCTGAGGGGTCTGGTGCGGGGCTTTGGAGTCTGCCCCAGCTGAGCTGCGCGACCTCAGGCAGGTCAGCCCACCTCTCTGGCCTGGGATTCTTCAACTATCAGGAAAGCTCATCGGGACGGCTGCGGGCCCCACCCCAGGGGCCTCCCTCAAGGTCATCAGGGCTCTACCAGGCAGAACCCTCACTCCTGCGCAAGGACAGCTTAGCTGGGGGCAGTGGAGAGGCCTCAGCGGTCCTGTCTGGGAGCCCGGAGGAGTGGCCAAGGCTGTGGGGAGGGGTTCGCGGCCCGGGTCTCCGGGGCCCCCCGCATGCCGGGCGCTGCACCCTGCATGGTCTCCGGCAGGAAAGGTGGGCCCACGCGGCACTGCCCAAAGGCGCCCAGCGCCCCTCCCTGCAGCCCTGGCTGGGGCCCAAGCGCCAGGCCCGAACAGAGGGACCTTTATGCGCCCTCTCCCAGCGCGGACCGGCCCTGTTTCCTTTTCATCCCGTGCAGCAGGGATTCAATGGGCAGAAACTCTGCCCCTGGCCCGCTGTGGGGACACAAACGTCCATTCTCCACAGGGGCTCCCGAGACCGCGGCGCAGAGGGGGGGAGTGGCCGGCCCCACAAAGAGCTGATTGTGTGCTGGCCATGGACTGAGGGCCTGGCCAGGCGGCCAGGAGCCAACCTGGGCCTGGCAAGGGGAGGGGAGGGGGGCAGGCCAGGGCCTGCAGGCCCGAGTGGGAGAGACGGCCGGGGGGCAGGTGGAGGGCCCCACCGCCTCGCGGCCGGCCAGGCAGCTCAGGAGGAAGGAAGTCTTCAGAGGCGGCCTGCCCACGGCACGAAGAGCCCTCCCTCTGAGGCCAGCGTGCGGAGACTTACCTTTGAAGGCCACAAGCTTTTCCGGCAGGTTCTCTTCATCGCTGTACTTCTGGTCACAGAGGAACTCCTGCAGGGGCGAGAGGACAGCCTGAGCCAGGGGTCAGCGGCAGCACTCACCAGGGCCTGCTGTCCACCGGGGCGGCTGGCCAGGCATGTCCTGTAGGGTATGGGCCGGCTCTAAGCAGTCCCACAGTCCCCTGCAGCGGAGGGAGGGGGTGCAGCTGCAGCTCTGCTCCAGGAGACCCCAAATTACTGGTGCAGGCACTCAGAGGGCCTCCCCACAGGGCACCCCTGCTCCCTCCAGGATCCATGAAGCCATGAGCCCCAAGACAGGCCGGCAGCCCGCATTAACACCTTAGGGCTGTGATGGGAGTCAGTGAATTCCTCTCTGGACCTCTGTGGCCTTATCTGCCAAGAGCGGGCAGTGTCACAGTGACCCCGCCAGCGCCGAAGGGCGTGCGAGTGTGCGTTTGACTTTTGGCACACAGCCAGGGCTCCCCACGGAGAATGACCTCTCACCTGCATCCTCACCTGTAGCACTGGGCCCCTCCCCCTCAACGCGTGAAGGGATTCTGGGCCTTTCAGAGCCAGGTTGAGGCTGCGGGAGGACGGCAGCACTGACCCAGGGGGCCCCCGGAGGAGCTACCCTCCTGGGACCACCTCACAGATGGGGAAACTGAGGCTCGCAGCAGCAGGGCTTCCACAGGCTCCCTTAGAGCCTCGGCCTTGCCCCTGACACTGTTTAGGACAGGCAGCGGCAGCCATTCGCTTTACATCCAAAGTGCCCCTCCGTAAGCGCGGCCAGAGCCTGCTCATCCCGCCGCTGACCTGGGGCGGCCGGGGCCCCTGTACGGAGTGGGCATGTCCATGGCCAGACCCCAGCAGCCCTTCTGCGCCCCCTCACGGAGCCATCACTCTCCCACTCCCACTGCCTCACTCAGCCTTTCTAAAGAACCACACTCCCTAGTCAGTCACCAAAGGCTCCGGGGAGGCCGCAGTGGTCTGGAACAAGCTCTTGTCTTAAAGCGCCAGAAATGCACGTTTATAAGATGCGGGTTGCTTTCTAGGTGGCTCGCCCAGCTGTGCCCAGCCTCCCGGCCCGCCCCTGCAGGGCCCCCGGGGCTGCACCCACACCGCCTTGCACAGGGCTCACTCCCTTTCCTGTCTGTCATAAGCCTCGAAACTCACAGTAGAAGAGAGTGACCGGAAGCTGAGCGGCTACGAAGCCCCAGGGTTTGGACAGGGGTCCGGCCCCTGACGCTGAGGCACGCAACGTCGGCTGGGCCAGGCGCCGGCCACTACAGCCCCTGGGCTGGTCCTCGGCACTCGGGGCGCGGGGAGTGAGTGGGGGTGGTATTCACTGTGCGGCAGGACAGGAGCCCTCCCGGGTACAGTTCCTGCGGGTCACTCAGTGCCCGTGACTAAGGAGGAGACACCTACCTGTCGGTCCCCCTTGCAGGCTGGGGGGCTCCGCCGGCCCCTTGCTTCTGGCGGTTCTGTGTCAGCCAGTACAGCCTCACAGCTCTGTGACCAAGGACCAGAGCGATTGAATAAAACATTGACGGTGCCCAGGCCGGAGGCGCAGGGTTGGTCGGGAGCCTCCGCTGTGGTCCTGTCCTGCTGCTGCGTCTGCGCAGAGGCACCCAGAGCCCCGGGGCCAGCTGGCTCGGCCCTGGCCTACTTGGGGACCTCACTGCCACGGTCCAGCACGGCCCTGCCTCCTAGCTGGAGCAGGACACGCTCCTGCAGCCCCGGAGCGGCCCTGCCCGCTGGCTCGGCCGGGCCTCCCCTCCCTCGGCACAGCGCTCTTCCGTCCTGCCCTCGGCCCAAAATAGGACAATGACCTCTTGTCGGTGACCCTGGGCCAACCAGGCACTTCCCAGGTCCCAGACCCACTCTGTCCCGGGGCGGGGCATCCAGACTTTGGGGTCAGGCTGACACAGCAGATCCATAAATATTATAAATGGGGAGGGGTGTGTGTGTGAAGAGAGGGCTGCCAGGTTTTGATTTTGCCAAATAAACACTAAACAATGAAGACGGACGGTGTCTGGAGCTCAGCAAAGGTCATCTGGTAGAAGCTGGCAGCTCGGAGACCCAGCAGGACCCATCAGCACCCGGGCACTGACTGCTCCAGGGCCCCGTCACAGTGCCACAAGCTGGACAGTGCTCACGGGGAGCCCCAGGAGCACCGGTGAGTTCTCTGGGCGCCTGCAGCTCCCACATTTGGGTTGGCCAGATCCTGCACCAGCCCAGAGCCTGTCTGTCGCCATGTGGCCCCAGGAATCCAGGGGGGTCTCAGGGGAAGAACGCAGCCCCTGGCTGGAGACAGGTCACGCACGGCCAGCAGCCAACCAGCCCCACCAGGCCTTAGCAGCGCGGGGGCCCTGGATCTTGTTTTGCCTCTTTGGTGTCCTCAGCCTGCCCCAGAATGGCCTCAGCCACGCTGACCGCCTCTTGGGGCCTCCCCCACGCCTCAGGACCTTTGCTCCAGCTGAACCCCTGCCTGGAGGACATGTCTCTTCCTCGCTTCCTTCAAGCCTTCGCTCAGCTCGGAGCGGCCAGGTTGCTCGCCTGCCTGCCACAGCCCCCGGCCTCCCTCCAACCTGCCCAACCTCGCCTCATGTCTCTTTTTACTCCATAGGATGGATCACCAGTAACAACTTACAAGTGAGTCTTACCCAGGAGTCGTCCGCTATCTGGGCCCCCCGCGAGGGTGCAACCGCCATGGAGCAGGGACGCAACAAATTTGCAGGGTGAATGAATGCGCGGAGGCTCAGAGAGGGTGCGCCACTTGCTCAAAGCAGCACAGCAAGCGACTGTGCTGGGGTCCGGCTCCACGGCTGAGGCCCTGCACAGAGCTGCGGACTGGAAGGGGCCCGAGGAAGCGGGGGCTGGGGCGGATGCAGGCCCTTGGCTCCAGGAAGACTTGTTTACTGGCCCGCCCCCAAGGGTGCCAAGTCCCTAGCAATGGCCAGCACACAGTAGGTGCTCAAGAAGCAACTGCTGCATGACCGAGACGCCAGTCATCCGCCAGAATCCTTTCTCCACTTGCCCACTAAACGCAAGACAACTTTGCAGAGGCTCTCGATGCGTGGCGGAGCCCCGGGGCGCTCGGAGGTCAGAATCCCATTCCCCTTAGGGCCCAAAATGACAAATGCTTGAGCCCCGAGGGACCGGGGGTGGGAGAAGCGGCTGACCGGTCCCGGCGTGGGTAGGCGGCCTCGCGGGCCCAGGCTTAGCGCAGCTGTGTGGACCAGGCCTTTGGCAGGGAGCCTGGGGAGGCAGGCGGCGGGCGCCGGGCACAGCAGTGAACGGGCACAGCAGCTCGGCTGCCGGGCTGCCAGCTCCCACCTCCCTCCAGCTTCGGACTCCGGGTTCCAGCTTCGGTTCAGGCCCCGCGACCTGCCGCGGGCATCCTGCCCCATCCTGGCAGAGGAGGTGAGGGCTGCTTGAAAGGCTTAGGGGAAAAGCAAAAGGAGAAGCGAAGAGGGCCGGGCAGGAGACGGCGTGCCTGGGCTGAATCCCCGGAGGAGCTGTGCGCTCACCCCGCACTGGTCCGCGCCTCCGTGGTCACGTGTGGCAGGGTGACCACGTTCCCCTGCCTGGGGTTGGCGGCACCTAAGTAGGTACGCGCCAAGGCTGGCACAGCGCAGGCACTGAGGAGCCGCCACGTAACCTCGGCGCTGCGTAACCATCTTCTGACATTTGATCAGTCAGCTGATAGCCCGCAGCTCATCCATCGCCCAGAACTTCAGCTTCTAACAAGATCAGGGACCCGGACGTGGCTTCCTTTTGACGGGATCGGACAGACGGGGTGATCGAGGCCCAGACATCACATCCGGATGATTCCAGGTTTACCTCCCCTCACCCCCTCGCTCACAATTCCGGGAGAGGACAAAGCAGTCTCTGGGCCCTGCAAGTCGGTGCTGGGAGCGACCCTGCCTGCACGCGCAGGCCTCCTGCCCCCAGGACGATGGGGTATCTGTGTGGCGGTAGTTTACCCTCCCCACACCTTCCTCTCCCACTCCAGCCACTGACCCCCCCAAAACTAGTCAGTCTGTGGCTGCAGAAATTGCTAATGAGCCTCTGTGGGGGAGGGGCGCAGTGGGCCCCTGGGCCCCTAGGGCCAGGCTGGAGGCCTCATGCCCAGGCCCTGGCAAAGAGGCAGGGAATGCGAGCCTGCAGGAGCACCCCCACCCCAGGCCAGCGTGCCCAACAGCAGGCCCAGGAAGACCAGCCGGCAGCTGGACCCCTCAAGCCTCCAGTGTCGCCAGCAGGGGATCCGGAGACCCCAGAAGGGAAAGATCTTGCCTAAATCCTCATGGTCAGAAGTGCCTGGGTGGCAGGGGTGAAGGCTGAGTGGATGTCAAATGCCAGCTCCAGCTCTTTCGGACCCGCTGGCCCTGGACAACTGGCCGGACCCCTGTGGTCCTCCGCTGCTCCGTCAGTAAAACGGGATCCTGATGACTGAAACGCCTCACAGGGTGAGTGCGAGGATGAAACGAACTGAGCAGAGAAGCCGACCCACACAGGGCGCTCTGTCCCGCGCTGTGCCACCCCGTCCTCCAGCGGAACCCGGCCGGGGGGTGGGACTCTGTCCAGGGCCGCCGGCTGACCTGGCGGCGACGGGACATCCACCAGCCGCATGGGAAAAAGCGCTCGTCTCAGCCCTGGGGACGGCCAGGGGCAGCGCCCACAGCCGCACCTGCTCTCACTGCTGCCCCTCTTGGTCAGCTGCAACCTCCGAGCGCCGGGATCCCGCCCCCGGGCTCCACGCACAGACCCAGGGCTTTGGTTCAGTTGGGATATTTCCAAAAGCATCAGAGGTGGGCAGCCCTGCTGGGCCCCAGTCCTGGGTCCCCTGGGTACCAGGCTGGTACCTCCAGCACTTGCTTCTGGGTTCTTGCTCCTGGCCCCCTGGGCCCATCTTTATGTATGAGCTGCAGCAGAATTTTGGGTTGGGCAGATATCACCATCTTGGAGGCCACCCAAGGGGCTCATGGCTGAAGCCCTGGACGAAAACCCCAAGGACTGGACAGCACCATGCCTGGCCGTGGGGCCTCTGACGCAGTCTGTGGGCTGGACCAGTACCAGGCTGAAAATGTCCAGCATGGTACCCGGCACCTAGCAGGGGCCGAACACGCCCCGCAAGGACAGCGGGCTCACATTCCCCACGGCGCTCTGGGGCCGCCGCCAGACACCACACCCTCGCCAGTAGATGGGGCAGCCGGAGAAAAGACTTCACAGATGCAGCCAGCCCCACAGAAATTCCATCTCCAGCACTCTGTGACATGGCCACACCAAGGTCACAGGGGCCGGGCCTGCAGGGACACTGAATCCTCCGAGGCTCACGTGGCTGCTTATCACAAGCTCCCTTATAATATATTAAGGAAGAGCAAGAGAGATGGGTGTCCAGTGATGCCAGCTGGGCACAGTCACTAGGGCAGGGACAGGATGGCAGAGCCAGGAAGAGGCACACCTGCACAGTGCCTGGGTCAGGTGTCAGAGGTCGCGTTGCTGGGGGCGAGGGCCCCCAGATCCCCCAGAGCAGAGGGGTGCCCCGCTTGCCATGCCCAGCGCTTCCCAGTACAGATGGCATGTGGGGTCTGAACTCATCGCCAGGCACCTTCACGCTAGAGAATGCTCAGTGCCCTTCCCCTGACCCAGGAGGCTGGGAGGGCGGGGCCGCAGCCAGAGATCCTTATCCACAGGGGCCAGAGAGGCCCCTGGTGGACAGCGTGGAAGTCAGAATCCCAGCTCTTTAGCTTCCTGGCGCTCACCTGGGGCAGGTGACTTTACCTGGCTGAGCCTCTGCTTCCTCATCTCTAAAAAGGGCGCCTAGTCAGCCCTGTCCCGAGGGTGTTTGCAGATGCTGGCCGCAGATGCCTCAGGCTGTGCTGGCGGGGAGGACCAGGAGAGGATGTGCAGGCTCGGCCATGCTCTGGCTGAGGCTCCTGGCCTGTGGTCCGGCTCAGGCTGCCGCCCTTGCCTCCTCCAGGCTCCTCCTGCTCAGCCCACACGTGGGTCAGGGGCTCCAGGGGCACCCACCAGCCCAACTTCTGTCCCCGTGGGAAAGGGCAAATCTGTCCTGTTGCCATATAAAGCCAGGCCTGGCTGCCCGGGGTCACCAGCCAAGCCACCAGGGGAATGTCAGCTATGCGGGGGGAGCGGGGGTGCCCTGCTCCTGCGGGGCGTGCACCCACACGGACGGGCGCGTGCAGGAGGAGGCGGCGGCCTGCCCCAGGCCACGACTCAACCCACCGAGCCACACTTCCTGTGAAATGGGAATCCCAGCGCCCACCCACCCCCGGGAGGGGGTGCGCATCAGACGAGGCGCCGACCTGAGCGTGCCTGGCAATGGGTCAGAAAACTGAAACCCCCAAAAGCGCATCTTTAGACAGCTCACCAAGACCTCCAGGCCCGCCCGAGTCTCCTATTTTCACTGCTGAATCCTTTATAACAGAACTAAGACGGAGCCTCCCAGCAGCCCTCTGGAAGCCGGCCCGGGGTGGGGGAAGGTCTCCGCGGGGACTGGGATGTTGTTAGCGAACCCCCAGAGCTGCGAGGGGGCTGGCACTGCCCTGGCCCGTGTCTGTGCCCTCACCGTGGGCACTGCCGTCAGTCATGCGACCCCACGGAACCCCGTCCTTGGAGGCTTCCAACCTCCACAGGACCACTCAGCGCTTGCTCAGTCCAGTCCCCCAAAAGTCCTGCTCCAGAGCCATACCCCAAAGGCAGGCAGTCTGGAGTGGGAGCATGTTCTCTCTAGCACCCACCCAGCGCAGGGGACCAGCCCCCTCCCCAGTGCAGGCTCTAGCCTTGCTCAAGGGACCGGAACCCGCAAACAGAGCTCTGCAGGCTGCAGGAACGTCCCTTCCATGCGCCTATCTCCACCGGCGGCCGCCGGCGCAGGGCAGGGCCGGGATCTGGTGCATTCCAGGCCAGGAAAGACCCGGTCTCTGCCAGACCCAGGGGAGCAGCACGTGACCCAGGGATACCTCTGGCCTGTCCCCAGTTGCGTTCATCCCCAAACAAACCAACGATAACCATCAAGACCGCAGCCAGCTCTGGGTGCTTTGCAGATTGTGTCCTTGAAGAATCACAACAACCCAAGGTCAGAGCCAGACTCGGAACTCTAAACCTGACCTGCTGTGGTGGGAAGCAGGCAGCTTCTGGCTTGATCCTGGAGCCCTCTTATTGCAGGGTCCCAGGGCACCCCAGCAGCCTGGGCTCACATGGGGCTCTCAGAACGGCACCCACTGCCTGTGTGTGGCCTCGGCCAGCTGCTGGCCCTGATGGGTGCCGGGGGTCAGGCAGCCTCTTGTGCCCTCCCCAGTCCCCCGGTACCTAATCCGCCCCTGAGACCCACAGCTGCTCCTCTTCCCGGGCCAAGCGGTGCACCTCCCAAAACAACCCTGTGGCCTCTCCCCCACCTGCCTCCCAAGGGCGGGGTTGGCGGGGAGAGTCCCACACACTTGGCGGCTCTGTCCAAGTACAGTCACACCCGGCCCCTGCTTACGGCCAGCTGTCTCTGGCTCAGGGGTCCTGCGGGCCGTGGATGGACACAGGCAGCTTGGACCCCACCCGCGGAGTGGCCCCAGGGAGGAATATGAGGTCAGGCCCAGGCTTCTGTCCAGAGGGCGAGAACAGCCAAGACCAAGGGTGGGCTGTAGAGTGGGCGGGGCGGGAGCCCAGCAGCTGGACCCGAGAGCCCGGCCAGGAAGCTCAGACTCTCAGCTCTGCTCAAGGCGGCAGCAGAGGCAGGGTGAGAGTAATGGCGAGGGGGCAGAGGGCTGACACCCAGAGGGGCCCCCAGACCTCCCTGGGACTCCTTAGCCAGCGGAATGAAATCAGAGTGGGTCTAAGCGGAAAACCGAAGCACCCCAAATGAGCCCCAGCCCTCCTGGACCCACACCCACACAGCCTCTGCCGACACCCTGCAGACCCCCACCCCACCAGCTTGGGACTCGCTCTGAGCAGGGCTCACCCTGGGTGCCCAGTGCCCATAACCTGCAGAGGGAACGCTCAGCCTTGCGCCCATGGGCATGCCTTGGTGGCCATGAGGACGGGCCTCTGCAGTGGTTAGGAAGGAACCGGGACCCCTCACGAGGTGATTCTAGCAGCACCCACGGAGGGCTTCCCTGGTGCCAGGTGTGGGCCCAGCGCATGGAGCCTCCCTCGCTGAGCCCTCGAGGTGACCTTGAGGCGTGACGAGAGTCCCTTGCCCTAGAGCCCTAGAGCGCAGGGCTGACACAGGATGGAGCCCAGGACTGGCAGAGCCTAAAGCCACCAGCTGTGCTGCCTTTGCGCGCTGGCCAGCCCCGGCCAGCCCTGACACTGTCCCTTATCTCCTAGAATTGATAAGGCCATTAAGCAAAGGCTATCCATCGTGCGCTCGGCAAGGGCTGGATTTCTTGACAGAAATCCACCAGGACCAAGGGAAACTTGCCTAAAAGTTAGAGTGAAAGAAAGTTTAGGGTATGGGTGGGAATAGATTGGGAGGTGGGAGGGAGGTCAACACGTTTACAGTGGAGAGAGCCCTGGGGTGGAGTCTGGAGCCCTGGCTGGGACTTGCTGTGGCCCCTGTCTCTGGCCAGCCACCTCGCTTGCCAGGCCTCTCTCTGCAGTGAAATCGCGGACTGGCGGTCAGGGGTCCAGTCAGGGGCCCCTTCAAGCGCCAAATTCCCAGCCCAGGTCCCAGGCCAGCTTGAGTGGCCGCTGGGGCTTGGCTGGCATCAGAGCTGCATCAGAGCTCCGGGGCCCTCCCTGCCTAAGCGCCACAGCTGCCACTCAAGAGGGCCATGGTGGGGTGCAGGGGACCTACCTGGAATGGGAAGCACCTGGGCAGGGGAAGAGGAAGGAAATTAGGGGAAGCCTGGAGGAAACAGAGGAAGCTGCAGAAACAGCCTAGAAGGTGACTGTGGGAGTTTGGGGGGCCCCCCCAGACAGTCCGGGAAAGCCGGGGGCTGGGGGTGGCAACGCGCTTACCCGGTTGATCTCCGCCAGCCTCCGGTCTTGCCGGGCTTTAAGCAAGCCGAACGCCTTCCCTCCTGCAGGAGACAAAGAGGTGGCCCCGGAAGCTGGGGTCTCCGCGGGCCTCGCGCCCGGCCCGAGCCCGTCCCCGCGCGCCG